TTTTGTCTTTTATATAGTTATCTGCTTGTCTTTTCCCCTTGTTTTAAAAAGTTCCTGTTTATCGCCTCTTTCCTCTTTCTCTCTTCAAAGATAATTCATTCCCATTTAGAAAAAGAAATTTTCAAAGTTTTGTAACTTTCCAAAAAAATGATCACTCAAAATCGGTCAGTAATAGCAATAATTCATTAATGGGTCTTTTCCTCCTGTAAAGTATTTTACTGGATCTTCTTGCCCCAGTAGTCGATAGCTGCTAATTAAGGCTAGGGGCACACTTGTAATTAATTTAAGCGCTGTTCCCGCCTTGGTTGGGTCTCACTTACCTGGCTTCCGAATACTTCGCTCTTTCTCTTCCTTCTTCCTCCAGCGCGATGCTTCTTCGGTTGGCCCCGGCTTCGAGGCAGCTGCCATGGCTGCTGCTCCCTCGCCGCTGGTTCAGACGGCCCATTCCTCTCGGCCGTCCAAGGGGTCCCTCTCTCTCCCCCTGTCCCTACAGGACAGGGTAGGTCCGCAGACCTGTCGGCGGTGTCTGGACAGTCGGGGTTTTCGCGGGGCTTGTGAGACCCCCGCCATTTCCCCGACTGGATCGCTGCGGCGCCAACCGGAAGTCCTGATGTTTTCAATTTATTCTGATAGCTGCTTTCAATATGGCTTGTAAGACTAAGGACCTGATCAATACAGCTCTGATAAGATCTTGCCTGTTCAACCGGTATTTGTTCATTAATTTTCTGTCCGATTCTGTTAAGTAACAACCTTTCAAGTAGTTTATAACAGACACCTAACAGAGCAATGGGCGATAGTTTTCTGGCTTATTGCTTTCTTTTCCAGGTTTTAATATGCCGATTACCTTGGTTCTTTTAAATTCTGGAGGGAGCTTACTGGAAGTTAGAATATCTGTATAAAATTTTGCCAGCCATTCTTTTGTGCAAGGTCCAGAATGGATGATAAATTCTGGCATTACTCCATCAAAACTAGGAGATTTTCCAGCTTTGACATTCTTCAGGGCAATGTCTATTTCAGCTGCTTGGAAGGGTCGAGCGTATTCCTGGTTAGGCAATCCCAGAGTTTTTAGATACTTTAGTTCTCTTTTCACTAGTTTAGTATGTTTCTTATCATGGGGTACTCTAATTAAGTTGACAATTCGAGTTGCTACTTGATCTGCACCAGCTGCAGCTTCCGAATACTCTTCAAGGGTAGCCCCATGTAGAGCGCATTGTTTGTTTGTTAAATTGTTATCACTAGACTGAGATGGGGGACCATATAAATTGTTAAAATAAATTATAAAGTGTGGGATGGGGTCATACTATCTCAAATAGACCTAGTGTAGAGTCGGGGGGGGGTCCTTCTGGACTCAGGACTCCTGCTCAAGGAGCAGATGGCCTGAAGGGCCTATGTGCACTGCCTTGGTCACCTCCGTGATCTGTATGGGGCTGCCCTGCAGGAACGTCCAAAGAGGTTTTGGCTGCTGTACACAGTGCAGTGGCACAGGCACTTGGGGATGTTCCTGGGTGGGCATGTTTCAGTTTCAGTTTATTTAAATTTATATACCGCCCTACTCCCGAAGGACTCAGGGCGGTGAACAGCCATAAATAAAACAAATATAATATAAAATTTAAAAACAAGTTAAAAGACATATTAAATAGATTTGGCCCACTAATTAAAACACCCCTATTTTTAAGAACAGATCCGAATTAAAATAAACAATTAAAAAGGGTTAGGCAAGCCCCGCTTGATGGAATAAAAAGGTCTTGAGGGCACGGCGGAAAGTGCGCAAATCTGGGATCCTCCGTATCTCTGGGGGGAGCTCGTTCCAAAGGGCAGGTGCCCCCACAGAGAAGGCTCTCTACAAGGTACAGGTGTGCTGTGCCTTTGTGCCGTGAGCTTCCTTCCTTGCCAGTTTGCTTTGGTACAATTCCAGGGCCTTCCTCTGCCAGCAGAGCACATCCTAATTAACCCTCAGAATCCATTTTTACTTATAATTATTTGATTGCTTTGATTGGATTATTTATTCGGTTTTAATGGTTGGTTTTATTGCACACTGTCCAAACTTCCCTTGTATGAAATGGGAAGCCATATAAATTTGATAGCTAAAAATAAATAAATTGCCTAAATGAGAGAATAGAAGGGATGCTCTTCAAATTTGCAGATGACACAAGGCAAGGAATTTGGGGGGGGGGAGCATTGTTAATAACTAAAAAGGCAGGATCAAGCCTGACACAAACCTGGGGGGAACTGCTAACACTTTAGAAGATAGACTCGAGATGATTCAGGAGGATCCTGACAGACCTGAGCATAGGGCCCTATCCAACAAGATGCAGTTGGTGAGAAAAGGAATGTCCTGCAGTTAGGCAGGAAAAAACCAGATGCACAGGTACAAGATAGGCAGCCCCCGGCTCAGCAATGGTGAGAGGGATCTAGTGGACAACCACTTAGGTATGAGTCGGCAATGTACTGCAGCTGCCAAAAACACCAATGCAGTTCTAGGTTGCATCAACGGGCAGCATCAAAATCAGGGGAAGTGATAATACCATTTTATACTGCGCTAGTGAGGTCACATTGGGAATACTGCATTCAGTTCTGGTCACTGTAATACAAAAATGATAGTGAGACCCTAGAAACAGTGCAGAGAAGAGCAACAAAGATGATCTTGGCTCTTGTAGGCATGGTTTTAGCACAGTTTTTAATAATATTTTGTTTTAATCTTTCAATTATTTTTCACTTGTTTCTATAACTTAAAAGAGGCTAAATCGTAAGAGGCTAAACTACAATGAGCAGCTAAAGGAACTACAGGTAGGTAAGTTTAGCTTAATGAAGGGAAGGCTTAGGGGGAGACCTAATAGCTGCCTCCCAATACATGAAGGGCTGCCAGAGGGAAGAAGGGGTTGATTTATTCTCTAGGACAGGAACCCGATGGGTGGAAGTTCCTCAGAGGGAAATGGAACCTGGAAATCAGGAGGAATTTCAGCGGGAACAATTAATCAGTGGAACAGCTTGCATCCTGGAATTATGGGTCCTGGAGTTTTTTAAAGAAAAGATTGGACAACCATTTCTCCTGGATGGTAGAAGGACTTCTGCCTCAGGCAGGGGGTTGGACTAAAACAGGTGTCGGCATCCCGCGGCTCCGGAGCTGCATGCGGCTCTTTCATTCCTCTACTGCGGCTCCCTGTCGCCCTGTCATGGCAGAGGGATGAAAGAGCTGCCGCCCTGTTGCAGGGGTGACGATGGCTAGAGCCTTAGTGTGGGAGTGAAGCGCCCCTGCCTTTGCACGAAACAGCATTCCGCCTTTGTCGCAGTACATTTGCTGTTGCTGCCTCCATGGTCTGTGTGTGCTCTCTCAGCGCCTTGTGTAGCACAATGAAATTTAGCACGCTTCGCAATGAAGAAGGCAGGGTCCCCTCCTCCTGGAGCCCATTACAACACGAAACCACAATGCGACCCTGCCCCACTCCCCCCTGGCAACAGCAGCGTTGTCATTGGGTCGCTCTCGCCTCCTGGATGTCAGTTGCTTTTCCTGAAGAGCTGCCGGTGTTGTGATGACTTGCTTCAGCTCTCTGCCGACCAGGTAATCGTCGGCATGCTGGTCCTGAGCTCGTTGGCCTCCGGATGTCAGATTCCCACCACCTACCGCCAGTTCAGAGGTTCCTTCCCCCCCCCCCACCCGGGACAGAGAGAGAAGGAGGGAAAGAGGGAGAAAGAGAGAGGAGCACAAGGGCGGCTGGGGATGCCTCTTTCGCCCTCGGGCCCTGTTTCTTGAGGAAGGTTTGCAAGCATCGTCCAGGAATTTGGCCAGAGGAGGGGCTCCTGTCTTCCTCAAAGACTCCCAGAGCCTTAATTGGTTGGGCTGATCATGGCTTGTGGCTAAGCTCTAACACCCAAGCAGAGCCCTGGCAAGCTGAAGCTGGGGGTCTGGAGGAGGCAGCCTTTGGTTCCATAAGGCTGTGGCTGCCCTGGGTAGGGCAGAGTGTGCCAGCCCCATATCCTGCACAGTGGTCTCAGAAGCAGTCCAGGAGCCCCATTTGCCCCACAGGGACATCAGGAAGGGCAGCATAAACATGTGGAGCAGCCAGGGCGGTCAGCTGGGACTCGCTCTAGGTGAAAAGGAGGGACTGCAGGCAGGATCTCTGCACCGACAGTCCTCAGATGATTGGACAAGGAATATGAATGAAAATCAGACGCAAAACACTTTTAGCCCTGTTGAACTCATGCGGAATTCATTAAAGACATTATGCAGTTACACACATTGCAGTCATTAAAAGTTCATGTTTCTCAACATTTCTATGTAATACAGTCATTCTGAAATTATATTTCCATTCAGTTTGAAGGGTCTGCCGTAGTCACCAAAAGTTTTTCAGGAAGCAAAACCCTTGAAAAAATGTATTGCCTGGTGATGAAGCAAGCAGTAGCCGGGCCAAAACCCTAACCCCCACCCCTTCCGAGGGGTTCCTCTGCTTTCCTGAGCAGTTTGGCTGGCAGCCTGACCTCTGCTCGAGAGTCCTGACTGACCCAGGGTTCAAGCAGGGAAGGCAGACTCCCAAGGGGGCCTGGGAGGAACTCGCCAGCGGAGCCAGAGTCCCCAGACACTTCCCACTGGATGGGGCCAAACAGAGGCCGGCCAGCTGCAGTACCAGGGCTGTAGGAGAGAATAATTCCACAAGAAACAAGGGTTTTGAGGCATCGTCAGCGCAAAAGGTACCTGCTCATTAGAGGGCTTTGTGAACTGAATGGCCCAGTGCCCTCCCCATACCCAGTTCTCTCCTGGCACCCTGGGAGCATCCAAGGCTGCCTCAGAAATTTCAAAGGGGGATTGCTGCAAGGGTAGAACAGAGTATGGGCACTGTAGTCCCGGAAGAGAGGAGGAGGAGGAGGCGGCATGAAACTTAGGTAGAAAACAGTGTTTTCCTTGCCCTCTGAAGGTTTTCTTTTCACTGGACTCTAGCAGGTGACCCGCCCAGTGGCCTGGCCCTGGCATTCGCTTGCATTCCTCTCCTCTTCCTTTCTTCCAGTGAGATTCTGGCCTGGGCCAGTGCTCAGATCCACTGCCAGTTGCATACCAGTGAGAGCCGGGTTGCTTTGCCACCTTCACAAGATACCAGCTATGATGCCCAAGCAGAAAACGAGACTGTCTTTGTGCCCAACAGAGGTAAGTTGCATCTCAAGGAAGAAGCCTCTTGGGGAGGGGGAGTCTCTGCTGGGGTTGGTGCCCTTGCCTGACCCCAGAGGGTCGAAGGGGGACCCCTGGGACTGGGAGAAGGAGGCCCTTGCCAGTCGTCCAAGCGAGGTATGGCACACTGAAGACCACCCTGAAAACAGTGGTCACAATCGTGGCACGTGAGGCACAGAAGCAGTGAGTGGACCACTGTTTCCTTGGAGCCTCTCTGGATAAGGAGAAGACGGGAGATCACCACCTGTGCATGGGCTTCGGATGACTGCTCCTCACCAGGAGGCTGCAGGAGGGGTGGCTTTCTGTGGCTTTGAGCGCTGGGAGACAAAGGGATCAGCCCTTTTGTTCACAGCTGCCTCAGAAACTTTGAAAGGACACGGAATTTGCAAACTTCACTTGCTAATTACTTTGGAAATTGCTCATTAACTCCTTATAAACTATTAAAGACTTTTGGACCTTGAGCTTTCCTTCAATCCTGAATAATAATAATAATAATAATAATAATAATAATTAATAATAATAATAATAATAATAATAATAATAATGTTAAGAATGTGAAATAAACAGCAAAAGAAAGATTTTGATCATAGAAGATAATACACAGACTAAGGATCCAGAAAAAATTGGAATACTGAAACTTCTACAGTTAAATTTTTCAAGTAATTCTAAAGAACTGTTACTCATGGGAAATAGATTTTATCTTGGTTTTTACAAGACAAAACAAAATAATTTCATTATTTCAAAGGAAGAGAAGTGTGATATTGTGACAATACACAATACTTTGAACGAACTAAAGATTTAAGACTCTTAAAAGGAAGAAGTATAAATATAATTTGATCAAGGTTACAACAAAATAGAGGCAGTCTTCCACTTATGACCATTAGTACCAGTGATTGGTCAAAATTACAACAGTGCTGAAAAAAAAGGACCCAAGCAAGGCCTTTGTCCACAGACGGGCGGTCACAGGGGCCGGATTTGGGTGCTTGGCAGCCTCCCACCTCCCTCCCTCCCTCCCTCCGCCCACCTGCCTTCCCCCAATCTGTGCACTTTGGGTCTCCCTGTCAGAGGCAGTGGTGTGTGTGTGTGTGTCCCCAGACCTTCCTCCCATTCCCCTAACCCCAGTTGCCCTGTGCCCACGGGATCGGCTGCCCTCCCATTCCCCTCACCCCCGGCTGCTCCAGATCCGCCTGAGGCAGGACCTGGAGAAGGAGGAGGATGGAAACAGGAGGAGCCGTTCTCATGATCCGTGGGAAGCCCTGACCCCCTGCACCCTCCAGATCATGCGATGGGGCTTCCCAAAGATTGGAAGAACCGGATCCCACATAGAGAACATCCTGAGGCGGCCTCGGGAGGAAAGCCTCACTCAGCCAGGCGCTCCCTCACACAGGCCAGGCGCGCCTGAGCAGGAGAAGCCTGGCAGGGGAAGAGCAGCAGACTATTGTGGAGGCTGTGGAGCACAGGATGGTGGGGGCTGGTCTGCTGGCAGTGGGTCTTGAGGTGGCATTTCTTGGGGGCAGGACTGTGGGGCTGAAGGCAAAGCCTGGGGCCAGGAGTGGCTGGCTGTTGAAGACGCCCGGCCTCTACTTTGACAACCCCCCCTCCCCCCGCAGCACTGCCACCGATGCCAATCCACAGGGCAGCCCAAAGGGCATAGGAAGGTAAGTAGGTGGGAGCAGCTGCAGATCATACGTGCTGCTAGGCAGGGTGAGGGCTGAGTCTCCCAGGGGCAGCTATGGCTTTGCATTGCAGCCCCTCCCTCCCACCCCCCACCCCCGGGTTGTGCACACAGCCTGTGCCGGGCCTCCCCGAGGCACCCCAACAATCCTTACCTGGGATTCCGCCCTCTTAATGGGCCACAATTCTTGTATAACCACAACCGGAAGAGCCAGGATTGTGGTTGAGCAAGTGGCCACATGGCATCTTGCTTAATGACTGTTTTGTTCAGCGACGGATCACAGTCCGATTTGCACTCATATGTCGAGGTTACCTGTACGTTGTTACTTCTGATAATCCTTCATAGGCTTGTTGCTTCCCCCAGGACCCGAGAAGGAGGGTTATGTAGATTGCAAGAGACGGGTCTGGGGTACAGAGGGCCTTCAGGGGGATAGAGGGGTGGCTAAATTTGTTTGTGCTTGTAATGAAGGTTGGAAGCCATTTCATTATTTTTTTCTCTTTATTCTTTTTTTTTCCCTTGTATTTTTTTCTCCTTCATTGAAGTCTAGTTCGTATTAGATTTCACTACTATAACCAAACTTCTTAATAAAAGTTACATTTAAAAAAAAAAAAGGAAGAGGAAGGCCTTGCTGTGGGCTAGTGACATGCGTTGCCTTGCAGGCGAGCGGGGTCAGTGCATCCTGTCGACACCCCCAAAGATCCTCTTCTGTGACTTGAGGCTGGATCCCGGCGAGTCCAAGAGCTGTGAGCGCTGCCCTCCCTTCCCTGTGGCTTGCACAGAAGGGTGAGGTGGGTGGGTGGTCACACCATAGCTGCAGGAGGGGCTGAGAGCAGAATGGGAGCAGCTGGGACCCGCCATGCCCTTCCCGCCTGGAGGAAATTGGTTTCCCTTCCTGCCCCAGAGCTCCTGCCCCCATCTTGGCTGGCCTGGCTCAGCGGCTCCCTCCCTCTTCCCCCAGACTCCTACTGCGAGACACTACCGGTGGACGGCCCACCCTCCTTCCGTGGGCAGACGGTAAAGTACGTCTACAAGCTGACCATTGGCTGCCAGCGGGTGAACTCAGCCATCAAGCTGCTCCGTGTCCCCTTCCGAGTGATGGTGCTGCAGGGTAAGCCCCCCTCGGCCTCCGCCTGCCCGGGACTCCAGCCTGCCAGGCCTCTGACTTTGTTTCCCTGTCTCCCCAGGGCTCAGAGACTACCCATTCCCTCAGGATGAGGCTGTGGCCCCCTCCAACCCCTTCTTGGAGGAGGAAGAGGGCGGTATGAAGAACTCCTCCCGCCTGGCGGACCTGGCCACAGAGCTCCTGACTGTCGCGACTTCACGGCGGAGTTTGCGTGAGTCCCCCATCTCTCCGGACGATTGTCCCTTGCAGCCCCCACCAAAACCCATCATGGCCTCAGCACTTCCTCCCTGCTCCCATTGTGCCCAGTGGTTTCTGTGGAAGAAGGCCTCCAAGAGTCCGGCAGCCCCTTTCTGACCCCGGCAGCCGGTGCGAGGCTGAGCACAGCAGGCCTAGTCTATCATGGCGTCAACCCCACTTCTGATTGTCCATCCTGGGGGCCTCCGTCAGCCTCGGGAGGCAGCTCCCTACGGGGCCCTGCAGCCTAGGCGGCTCCCCCCTCCGTATAAGCACCTGCTGGGTCATTTGGGGCCTGTGCTGGGCCATAGAGCCTCCCCCCACCAATCTTAGGGCAGCTCTCTCCGTCCTCAGATTTGTTCAACATCAGCAGTGCCCAGGGCCGAGTGGCCACCTTCTGCATCTTCAAGACCGTCTACAAGATTGGGGAGGATGTGGTGGGGACTTTCAGCTTTTCCGAGGGGGATACGCCGTGCCTGCAGGTGAGGGGAGCAGGGGCCTCCCAGAGGGCTGCGTAGACGGGGGGGAGGCACCTTTGGTGACAGGCTGCTGTCCCCACCAGTACCTGGTGAGTTTGCAGACAGAGGAGCGGGTCCAGGAGGCCTTCCAGCGCCACAGGGGCCAGGCTGCCTCCTACAGCACCCACGCCCGGCACCAGGAGTCCTGCCTGCACACAGCTCGGACCAGCTTCAGCCTGCCCATCCCACTCAGCTCAGCCCCGGGATTCAGCACCAACGTTGGTGAGCCTGCGGGGTTAGAGCTCCCAAAGCAGCCCTGGTCTTCTGGGGGAGCCCTCCCAGGTGCCTCCTTTCCCCTCTGGCTGCTCTGGAGCTGGGGCAACGGCGGAGGGGGGGGGTAGGGATACTGTGAGCAGACCTGCCTGGCTCCCTTTGCCCTGAATGCCTGCCTGCCCGTCTTCTACAGTGTCCCTCCAGTGGAGGCTCCACTTTGAGTTTGTCACTCTGCGGGACGTGGCTGAGGCGCACGTGGCTCCCAAGGACAAGTCGGAAGCTGCCAGCTGGACAGGAGTGGAGCAGATGGATGTGGACACTTTCAGCTGGGACTTGCCCATCAAGGTGCTGCCGACCAGTCCCCTGCTGGCCACCTCTGTCTCCCAGCTGCCCAGCTGCAGTGCTCTCTCCATCTGAACAGAAGCACTTGCGGGAGAGGAGCTGGGGGTCCTGGAAGCCGCCTTCTGACACTTCCTGAAGCCCGGGACTCTTCCACCTCCGGAGGGCCAGGCTGTTGGCAGTCAAGGCCGGCAAGACCTGCCCCGTCCTGGCTGGGGTGTTTTCCTTCCCCATGCAGACCCAGTGAAGCCCTCGCCCTGCCCTTTTGCCTTATGAAACAGCTCCAAGGCTGAAAGGGGACAGGGCTCTTTTCTGATCTTCCACCCCACCCAGCGGTCTGTTTTGTGTCTGTCAATAAACAGTTCACCAACTCCTGGCCCTTTGTGTGCCCATGGCACTGCCCCAGGATACAGGGGAGCAGGCAGGAGGCCCACCCTTTTTGCAGGCCTGCCTGGAGGAGGAGCCCTGCCCTTCTATCTGGAAGCCCCACTCCCAGAGCAGGAGCCCAGGACAGTCCCTGGCCACTGCCCTTTCCTACCACCCACCTGGCAACTAGGACTGGGGAGCAGTAGCGCAGCTGAGGGCAGCTGCTGGTTCTTCGGCCTCCCGCAAACACACGCTGAACCTGCGACTCTTGTGGCACCTGTCTGGCCGAGTTGTTGCCCCTAGGAAAAAGCTTTAGTTTCTTCCCTTGTGGAAATCCAGGTGAAATGTCACAAACACCCATGCCTGAGCTATTCTCTCTGGTGCCCGAAGGCGCTGTGCAAAAACTTGCGCAGTGAGCTCCTCGGCTGCATTTCCGGTGCATGGAGTTAGGTGAGGATTTGCCTTGGTTTGGATTTCTTTACTACATCTCCCCCCCCCCGCCCATCTGGGCTTTGCCTTGTAGAGGAGCCGCTGAGGGGCAGGGTCCCAGGAGGGGGGGCTGACTGGCTTTTGGGATTAATGGGTTCCATTTCATTCCTGGCAACCTGGGAAGAGGTTTCTCCAATCGGGCCCCCTCCCCTCCTTCCCATTACTGGTTGGCTGAGACCAGAGGAGCAAAGGGTCCCCACACCCTGATCCCAGCAGTCCCTCCTGCCGGAGGGCGCACTAGGGCAGGTCCCGTAGTTCTGGTGGGCAGGACTCTAGTGGAGCTGTGGTGGGCTCCATTCCGAAGCAGCTGGCTTTTCCCTTGGGGGCTTTGGCTGGTAGACGAACCCCACCAGGTCTTTATGGGGTTCAGTCCCTGCTAACCTGGATGATGCTTTGGAATTTGGGGGGGGGGGCTGCTTGGTTCATTGTGGGGTCTCAAGGGAAAGCAGTTCAGTCAGGCCACTGCCCCTCCTGGACCTTTCCCCGCTCGGCTCCCTTCCAAGGTCCTGCAGCAACTCTGGTTTCAGAGATCATTTATAATGCCTCTCCATCCCCTCCCCCATCTGAAAAGATTGGACCATTTAGTAGCGCCGGAAGGGCCCTGGGTTTAAGGTCTGAACCCCGTTCTGCCTTGTGTCGTGCTCTGTGTGTTTCTCCAAGGACATAGCCGAGCCCTTCGCATCTTCTAACCAAATCATATTTTGATCAGTGAAGAGTTTGGCTTTTCTTACAGCCCTTAAATTACTCTGTAGACTCAGTTACTTCATGTTACCTTCTTAGGAAAGAAATTTTAGTATAAGTGTGACTTTCCTTGTGTATTTAATTGAACAATCACTAAATAAATGGAAGTAACACTGTGGAGTTGTGTCTTGCTGGCATCTCGCCACAAGGCTCTGTGGAGGCAGAATGTGGTCCGTGCCCGTTTGGGGAATGATAATTATTACATTTATTAGCTTGGTTTGATTTTCACAGATGCACCCAAAATCTGACTTCTCCGCTTGCTTTTGGGGTGGAAAGAACAGATGAGATCCACCCCCTGCAAGAGGCTTCATAACTGCCAGGTTGACCATGGGCTGCCCTTTCTTTCTTTCTTTCTTTCTTGTATCTTGTAACCTCTCCAGAAGAGGTAAGAAGAGCCAGGAAGGGAGAGAATCCAGGAACCCCGAAGGAGGAGCCGAGGTGGGGGTGATGGGAGATGGGGGGCTTGGGCTTGGGCTTGGCGGGGTTGGGCAAAGAAGGGAAAAAGGGGGACGTGGAAGCCAGTGTGAATGGAGGGAGTGCAGTTTCTTTTCATCTGGGGAGCCGGTCCAGAGTGATGCTGTAGTAGAGAGTGCAGGTGAAGAAGGCCTGGATAAAGAGAGAGGAGATCACCACCTCTAAGCAATAGGGAGGGAAGCCCAAAAAACCAGGAAGGCACAAGCAAACATCTCAGAAAGAGATTCCCCTGCTCCAGAGGAGAATAAGGAACAGAGGAGGGGAAGTAGAATCAAACTTGCAAGATCCTGTTACTGTGGGTCCTGCCAAGTACCTTTAATAAGGAGCCAAGCCTAAGCGTGAAAGCCACCGAGAGGTTGCCTCACCTCCATCATGGGCCCTCCAGAGATCATCCACGAGGGCAGCCAAGGCTTTCTCCGTAACCCAGACCGAAAAGAGTCCCAATCACACAGTGCATCTGGGGCTTCTGCGCCTGAGCACCGCCCACCCCACCCTCAACAGCTCCTCCCCCGATATCTCCTTCATGCTCAGTTATCTCCTGTTGTCAATCTGTTCTCTCAGCATCTGGATAGGATGCCATTCATAGGCGACCTTTTCAGTGCAGCTGGGGACCCTTCCAAATTTGGGGAGCCCCTCCTTTCCTTGGGGTGGCTGCATGTCAGGTGAGCCCGGGGCAATGGTGGGTTACTCCTGGTTCACCCCAGTTCGGGCAAACCGGTAGTGGTGGTGGCGGGAGGCTTCACCCACCCGCCCAGATGTCATCAAAAATGCTCTGTGCATGCGCAGAAGTGCCACATGCTCACAAAGCAATAACCAATAGCAAACCGGTAGCACCGGGATTTAAACCCCACTACTGGCCCGGGGGTCTTCTCCCATTGCAGGCCAGAGCCAAGAAACGTCAACGCTGCTGAGGACTCTCGCTCTCTTCCTGCAATGGCCCTTTACGGCTGAGGTGGCCCTTCCATCTCCATTTCTCTGCGAGGCTTCTGGCAGAGGGAAGGGCTGTGAGCTGCACAGAAATGCCCCCCACTCCCCACTTCCTCTCAGCAACCCCCTCTTGTCAACTGTGATTTACTTCCTCCCCCTCTCTGGAATTCTTCTCTGGTGCTCAGAATCTAACCCCAGCTCCGCCACCCCCAAATCCCATCGTCCTTCCCTGACAATTGCCAGGAAAAGCCTGGGGGAGATGGGGGAGGAGAAGAGTTAAGGCAGGGGTGAAATCCAGCAGGTTCTGACAGGTTCTGGAGAACTGTTAGTGGAAATTTTGAGTAGTTCGGAGAACCGGCAAATACCACCTCTGGCTGGCCCCAGAGTGGGGTGGGAATGGAAATTTTGCAATATCCTTCCCCTGCCACGCCCACCACGCCACAACCACAGAACGGTAGTAAAAAAATTTGGATTTCACCACTGAGTTAAGGGGTCTGGCAAAGTGAGTTAGGGAACAAGAGGGGGGAGGTTATGGGTTGGTTTCCAAATGTTCTGTTACCAGGCTAAGTAACATCTTCAGCAGACCAGTACTTATAGACTTGGCTTACCTCTTGGTTACCTGGAACAGGTTGCTTATGAAACTTGGCTTAAGTAGGCCCCGCTCTTCTGGCCAGCATTATCCTATGACTTTGGTCAATGGCTAATAGTTCTTCTCAGTAATTGTTTCCAGAAGAGTAAAAGACTAAATCCTGTCCTCTCAGACACCCGTTTTGCCTTCTGAGAAGTCAAAAGGGGGCAGGGGAGGAATGGAGCAGTTTCAGATAAATGGAGAGGTAAGGAATGTGGCCTTGCAACATCTAACTCACAGCAGCCCATTGTATGTTTTTAATCAGGACATTCCCCTTGCAACCCCTGAAATTCGAGGTGCAAATATTTCTCCTAGCTAAAAGGATTGTTCTTTGTAGATAACAGAAGGGCAGGGAGCGAGCGGAGGCCCATGGCAAGAAGCAAATAATGGAGGCTCCCTGCAGCCTTTGTTAGACTCTCCCTGCAGAGAAAGAGGGGCACCCGGATTTATACAGGAGAAAATGATGCCAGGGAGGGGGAGGAGTCCTTTGGAAGAGCCCCCCTTTCAGCAGGGAAGGCCTTTAACAAGCACCGCAGGGAGCCTTGGCTGCTGGCTTTGGGTCCTGCCTTTGGATTCCACAGTAGAAAATGTCATTTATAATAAGAGGATGATAAACCATCCGCTCCAGGCTTTTTCCTTGTTTTCATCTTTTTTACAGCTTCACAAACCTACATTATTTAGGGAAAGTTCATTAACTGATTCTATTTTTTATTTGTTTCTTTTATGCCGCCTATATAAGGTAACTCTATGATAAACTTTGTTTCTTTAACTATTCATCAACCTTTGCCAGAGAAACTTCTCTTTTGTATCATTTATAGTAATTGATAAAATATTTACATAAATTATCTGTTATTATATTTTCATCTTGTAATTGTAACAATATTTTTTCTGTTTTCTTTCTTCAGTTTATATGCCAACCATTTCCCTGTCTTATTTGCAAATCCAAGATTATTTTGTTTCCCATAGTTCATATGTACATTTTACATTTCCCTTCATGTTAACTTGGACAATTGCTACTGTAGTGAAATAATTTGTTGTGAAATAATTATCTTTACTGGGGATGTCTTTCATTTTTCTTTCATTTTTATCTCATCTAAAATTGTTTGTGTTTTCTCTTGTTCTGGGATTTGTTTGTTTTTTGAGTTTGTTATAATAGAACATAATATATATAACTGAGGGAAATGGGCAATTAAGAAATAGGAAATGTATATAAGATCTTTAAGATCTTTATTGATTGATTGATTGATTGATTAGCCCTTGGGCCATATCAAAGTGCAAAGTTCCAGAAACAAATTATTACTAAAATTTGATAAATGCAATTTAAAATGGAATTGGAATAAAATACAGTAATTTGAGATATAAATAAAATATGATAAAAGACACCTGTCCACAACCTCGAACAGTCACACTCCAAACTCCACTATGGTGAAGACCAAAGAGCTGTTGAAGGACACCAGAAACAAAATTGTAGTCCTGCACCAGGCTGGGAAGACTGAATCTGCAATAGGCAAGCAGCTTGGTGTGAAGAAATCAACTGTGGGAGCAATAATTAGAAAATGGAAGACATACAAGACCACTGATAATCTCTCTCGATCTGGGGCTCCACGCAAGATCTCGCCCTGTGGGGTCAAAATGATCACAAGAACGGTGAGCAAAAATCCCAGAACCACACGGGGGGACCTAGTGAATGACCTGCAGAGAGCTGGGACCAACGTAACAAAGGCTACCATCAGTAACACACTATGCCGCCAGGGACTCAGATCCTGCAGTGCCAGACGTGTCCCCCTGCTTAAGCCAGTACACGTCCGGGGCCGTCTGAAGTTTGCTAGACAGCATTTGGATGATCCAGAAGAGGATTGGGAGAATGTCATGGTCAGATGAAACCAAAGTAGAACTGTTTGGTAGAAACACAACTCGTCGTGTTTGGAGAAGAGAGAATGCTGAGCTGCATCCAAAGAACACCATACCTACTGTGAAGCATGGGGGTGGCAACATCATGCTTTGGGGCTGTTTCTCTGCAAAGGGACCAGGACGACTGATCCGTGTACAGGAAAGAATGAATGGGGTCATGTATCGTGAGATTTTGAGTGCAAACGTCCTATCAGCAAGGGCATTGAAGATAAAACGTGACTGGGTCTTTCAGCATGACAATGATCCCAAACACACCGCCCAGGCAACAAAGGAGTGGCTTCGTAAGAAGCATTTCAAGGTCCTGGAGTGGCCTAGCCAGTCTCCAGATCTCAACCCCATAGAAAACCTTTGGAGGGAGTTGAAAGTCCGTGTTGCCCAGCGACAGCCCCAAAACATTGTTCCTCTGTCCTGGTCCTATTAGACCTCTCAGCGGCTTTTGATACCATCGACCATGGTATCATGCTGCACCGGCTAGAGGAGTTAGGGGTGGGGGGCACCGTCCTACGGTGGTTCTCCTCCTTTCTCTCTGACCGGTCGCAGTCTGTGTTGACAGGGGGGCAGAGGTCGACCCCGAGGCCCCTTGTATGTGGGGTGCCACAAGGGTCGGTCCTCTCGCCCCTTCTGTTCAACATTTATGTGAAGCCGCTGGGTGAGATCATCCGTGGTTTCGGGGTGAAGTACCACCAGTACGCTGACGATACTCAGCTGTACATCTCCACCCCGGACCACCCCAATGATGCCCTTGAAGTGATGTCCCGGTGCCTGGAGGCCGTGCGGATCTGGATGGGGAGAAACAGACTCAGGCTCAACCCATCCAAGACCGAGTGGCTGTGGTTTCCGACATCCCGATATAGTCAGTTGGCGCCATCACTGACTATTGGGGCCGAGTCATTGCCCCCCACGGAGAGGGCTCGCAACTTGGGTGTCCTCCTGGACTCACGGCTGTCTTTAGAAGAGCATATGACGGCCGTGGCCAGGGGGACTTTTTATCAGGTCCGCCTGATTCGCCAGTTGCGTCCCTTTCTGGATCGGGACTCGTTAAATACGGTCACTCATGCTCTTGTCACTTCCCGCTTGGACTACTGCAATGCTCTCTACATGGGGCTCCCCTTGAGGAGCACCCGGAGGCTCCAGCTGGTCCAGAATGCGGCCGCGCGGGTGGTTATGGGAGCGACGTGGCGCTCCCATGTGACCCCCCTCCTGCGCGAGCTGCACTGGCTCCCGGTGGTCTTCCGGGTGCGCTTCAAGGTTTTGGTTACCACCTTTAGAGCGCTCCATGGCATCGGACCGGGGTATCTACGAGACCGCCTTCTGCTACCAATAGCCTCTCACCGACCAGTACGCTCCCATAGAGAGGGGCTCCTCAGGGTGCCGTCGGCCAAACAGTGTCGACTGGCGGCCCCCAGGGGGAGAGCCTTCTCTGTGGGGGCACCTACCATCTGGAACGAGCTCCCCCCAGAGATACGGAAGATCCCGGACCTGCGCACGTTTCGCCGTGCTCTCAAAACTTTTCTATTTCAACAAGCTGGCCTGGCCTAACTCCCCTCTTTTAAATTCTTAAATTTTAAATTTTTTAATTCGTGATTTTATAAATTGGGTGTTTTAATCTGTGTTTCGGCCGAAATATTTAATAATTTTAAGGGATTTTAATATTTGTATTGTCTGTATTTTATCTTGGCTGTTCACCGCCCTGAGTCCTTCGGGAGTAGGGCGGTATAGAAATTTGATTAATAAATAAATAAATAAATAAACATCACTGCTCTAGAGGAGATCTGCATGGAGGAATGGGCCAACATACCAGCAACAGTGTGTGCCAACCTTGTGAAGACTTACAGAAAACGTTTGACCTCTCTCATTGCCAACAAAGGATATATAACAAAGTATTGAGATGAACTTTTGATATTGACCAAATACTTATTTTCCACCATAATTTGCAAATAAATTCTTTCCAAATCAGACAATGTGATTGTCTGGATTTATTTTCTCATTTTGTCTCTCATAGTTGAGGTCTACCTATGATGACAATTACAGGCCTCTCTCATCTTTTTAAGTGGGAGAACTTGCACAATTGGTGGTTGACTAAATACTTTTTTGCCCCACTATATGTGCTAGTCGTTTCCGACTCTAGGGGGCAGTGCTCATCTCCGTTTCAAAGCTGAAGAGCCAGCGCTGTCTGAAGATGTCTCCGTGGTCATGTGGCTGGCAGGACTAAACACCAAAGGTGCACGGAACGCTGTTACCTTCCCACCAAAGGTGGTCCCTATTTTTCTACTTGCATTTTTTTACATGCTTTCGAATTGCTAGGTTGGCAGAAGACACCAGGAGGAACTAATTATTTATTAACATTTATGAAAGATGTTTATGAGGCTTCCTTGACTCCAGATGACTCTGAGTAACAGTAGAAATAAACACAAGAAAGGAAAACCAATCACTCAGCAAAGGGTGCTTAATTCAGAAGGAAAATTGCATTCTCTACATACAACCACTAGATCCTGCCGCAGCTGTTCCCCATCCTAGCCCAAAGCTTGGGGAGAAGAACAGAACTTAAGGGCTTGTCTAGAGAAGAGAGGAGTGGGAATATTTGGGCCTCTCGAGGGCAGGAGAGTGGCAGAAAAGGCCCCTTCCTGGATCCCAGCAGTGGTCGTTTTATGGATGGTACCTGGAGCGTCCTGTCCCACCTAACAACCCAGGCAGGCAGAAACCATGGGAGACAGGCAGTCCCTTCTGCAGGAGCCAGGGCCTGTGCCAGGGCTCTAGATATGGCACCTGAAACCTCCTGACTGTATCAGAAGACAGCAGCACAGGCTGCTACCGGAGGCTGTGCATCCTGCTTAGAGATCTTCAGAGGGGCTGAATGGCCCTCTACAGGATTGAATGAGATGACCTCTAAGATACATTCCAACTCTTATGATTCACACTTCTTCTCTATCCAAATTGTTCTGGGCACCATTTGCATTTTAGGAAGAACGCTGGCAAGGTGGAGCAGGAAGTAGGACTATATCTCAAGAGAAAGCTGTGGAAGAGACTGGCCAGGAGCCGAGAGATGCTCTGTCCCTGGAGATGTTGAGGTGGAGCCATTACTGCGCTGGGCAGGTGGTTGGACGAGATGGTCTCCAAGACCTTCGTCATACCCAGAGGACATGGGAAAGGCTACCTTGCTCAAATGGAGTGGTTTGATCCCAAGGCCTGCAGCGCGGTCCAGGGGTGGGAGATGCAAAAGGCTGCTGAGGTCTTTCTGCACTCCAACAGCAAAGTCCTACTTGGGGCTGGACATCTGATGGCTGCCAGCCGATTGGTTCGACAACCATCTTTTGCCCAATGTGCTTATTCTGGTGAGGCCAGCAACTACCATCTGCCAATGCTCAGAAAGTGAGATGGCTGCTGCTCCCTCTCTGCCAGGGGCTCAGCTGTTGCCAGCTTTCTTCAAGACCTGTAGAGCGAGTCCTCCCCGTCTCTAATGGGGGCAGGGGTGGGGGGCAGCTCTGGAGTGTGGAATGTGCTCGTCTACTCGGCTCTTTCCCTGGTCCTGTGAGCCGGGGTCGTTGCCATTCTGAGTCTGAGGTACCTTCCCACAGAGGGCTTACATTCCAACAAGAGACTGGCTGGGGGGTGTCCACATTCTGGGACTGTCCTGGACAGCCTGACTGTCCGACGTCTGCTGTTTCTCCAGGTGCCCAGAGCGACTCCAGTTGGCCCGCAGCCTCCGGACTCTGACGGGGAGCCACCCCGGGAGGGGGTGACGAGAGGCACCATTTTCCCCCACGGCCCCTCTTGGCACCTTCCGGGAGAGCCCGCCTTCCTCCCCCGCGGGATGGGAGCTGCTTGCACGCTTTCCTCCGTTCCGCCGAGGCCTCCGGCGGCCGGCCTCTGATCCCGGTCGCGGCGCTGCGGTGAGGCGCTCGCTGCCCTCCTTCCCCGGGCGGCGGGCTCGGCGACGCCCTGCAGGGGGGCCGAATCTGGCCGGGGAGCCGCGGGGCAGGGCTGTGGCGAAAAGATCCGCCGGGGGCCAGGCAGTTGCTTCGCTGCCGGGCCCGCCGCGAGCGCGCCTGAAGCCCCGGGGCCTTCCCTGAAGCGCGGAGGCACCGTCCGGCTCGCCTCGGCTCGGCTCGGCGGAACCGAGGGCGGCCGGGACGATCGGACAAAGGCAACAGCGCCGCGGACGGCCCGCCTCACCCGGGCTGCTGGTGCCCGAGGAAGCCAAGGGAGGCGCCAGGGGGCGCTGGCCGCCCACCTCTCCTCCTGGCGCGGGCAAGGCATCCGGGGGGAGGGACGGGGGGCGGCTGGGGCGGCCTCTTCGGGGGGAGCGCGGGACAGCCCGCCTCGCAGAGGGATCCGGCGGAGCCGAGTCGAGTCGAGTCGAGCAGGCGAGCGAGCGCATTCCTTCAGCCGCCCCCGGCCACCCCCATGGCCTCGCTGCCGCCGCCGCTGCTGCTGCTGCTGCTGGCCGCCTCGGCGACTCTCGCTCCCCACGCCATCCCGGCGGCCGGAGCCAACGGTAGCGCGCCAGCCCCGACCGTCCTGACGGTGGCCATGGTGCTGCCCAAGGACAACCCCAACTACCCGTGGGCGCTGCCGCGCGTGGGCCCCGCCGTGGACCTGGCCCTGGAAGCGCTGGAGCCGGCGCTGCGGGCCGCCGGGCTGGCGGTGGAGAAGGTGATCGCCACGTCCGAGCTGAACGGCGTCTGCTCCGAGTCGGTGGCGCCGCTCAAGGCCGTGGACCTGAAGCTTTACCACAACCCGGACGTGCTGCTGGGGCCGGGCTGCGTGTACCCGGCGGCCGCCGTGGGCCGCTTCGCCTCGCACTGGAGCCTGCCGCTGCTCACCGCCGGCGCCGTGGCCGCCGACTTCAGCCGCAAGCAGGAGCACTACAGCACCATGGTGCGCGTCGGGCCGTCCGCCCCCAAGCTGGGCGCCTTCGTGGCCCACCTGCACGGGCACTTCAACTGGAGCTCGCGCGCCGCGCTGCTCTACGTGGACCGCAAGACCGACGACCGCCCCTTCTACTTCACCATCGAGGGCGTCTACGAGGAGCTGCGCCGCGCCAGCCTGGTCGTCGGCTACCACATCTACGCGCCCCGCGACAACGGCAGCGCCGCCGGCGACGAAGCGGGGGGCCCGGACGCGGCCGTCCAGTTCATCCGCGCTAACGGGCGAGGTGAGAGCCGGGGCGGGGGGCGGCACCGGAGCGCAGCGCGATCGCGGGCGGGACTGGCCGTTCCTCCTCCCGCGGAGAGCTTGACCTCCGTGCCAGCCGCAGGGCCGGCTGGGGCGGGCGCCAGTCCTCCTGCCGAAGGCCCGGACCTTCCTTCGACGGGGCTCGGGACGCGGGCGGAGGGGCGGCGCGGGGGCGAGGCCGCCCGGCCAACAGCCGGTCGGCGCCAGCTGTTCCCTGCGCGTCGCCGCCCGGCCCGGGAGGCACCTATCGATCCGTCGGCCTGCTGCAGCTGCGCCCCTCCATCTTGGCGGCCGCTGCCGCTGGAGCTGCTTTGTCATTGGGGCGGGCAGGAAGCCGCCGGGGACGGCCCGGTGGAAAACCTGGCAACCGCCACGGCCGGCCAGTCTGCGCGACCGGCTCCATCTTTCCGGGAGGAGGCCCGGACGGGCTCGCCCGCCGCCGGATCTGCAGGCCAGCTCGGCGGGCCAACTGGACGCCCCAGAGGCAGAGGCTCCGAGCCCCGTTGCTGTCGGGCACGTAGGCGCCGCAGACTGGCGAGGGCCCCGGCGGACGTCAGGGTTATAATGGCCCCGAAAGGCTGGGGAGGGAGAGCAGGGAGGTGCGGTTGGTGGTCCCTGCGGCTCCGGAGGGCTGGGGTGGCTTTCAGACTCCCCCATAGGCGCCGCCTTCCATCAGAAATAGGAATCTCCCACAAGGTGGATCTGCGGACAAGGACCAGCAGGGTCCGGAGCCCCCAGGAGGTTGCCCTTTGCAGGAAGGACCAGGGAACTGTGGATTTTAATCCTGGCTTCATTGTTTTTACAAATTACTCAAAGTGATGGACATAAACAACACATCTTCCCCTTCCCATTTTTCTGCACAACAACCCTGTCATGTGGGTTGTCCAGAGAGAGGAGGGGCTTTGATGGACGATGGGAAGAAGGAGGCTAGATTGCAATACTACAATTAGGGATTGTACTTTAATTTAGCCACCTGATCTTCTCCTTCCCATTTCCCACCACCATCTCACAACTTTGTTACCCTGCAACAGGGGCCTTTCCACTCTAACACAGCAACTTCCACCTCCGGAGGACATCCAACTTCCCCTCGTCCTGTTGGGAGAGTCCATCCAGCAATAGTTTTCCTTCTGTCAGCTGTTCCATCGGTTCTACTGCTTTCCCAAGAACCTCTGGTTGCCCTTCAGTACCTCACTAAACTCTCAGCCTTTGGTCAAAAACTGCTGCATCTGTTGTGCTTCCAGATATACCTTCACTTGATGGCCCCGTTCGCAGCTGTGCTTTCCTACCTGAAACAAAGAGACTTTCCCCAAGCAGAAGCATGCCCAAGGGCCCCTGCCCTCCTCTCGCCTGTTCTTGTATCTTTGGCCTCCTCCCCCCCCCCCTCCCAAATCCACTCCAATCCTCTAGGAGAAAATTCTTTCAGATGAATTCAGGATGTTACTCAACTTTTCCCAAAATTAATTTCAGGTTCTTTGGTGATCAGCATTCACTGAAGCATAACTCTAACCAATTCAAGGACACTGTGTGTGTTGTGGGCAAGTATGAAAATAGACACATACACACCCATAACATACCGTACATAACCTCACTTCCTCCTTTCTGACATGTTTAGCCCTTCTGGTCTAAATTCCCTGCATCTATTCATTGCTTCATAAGGTCGCATCGGTGTCCTTTGGCCGCGTTGAACCCTCGTCCCCCTTTTCCTCACTGTTTCACAGATCCACATTCCTTTCTTTTCTAACCCTAACCCTAACCCATTCACCCTCCCCTACATCCCAAATCTTCCGAGGGCTTCTTCCAATGGGGCCATCAATGTTGGCTTCTGTTGTCCATTGTGGCTTCGGTCAAGCAAGGCTTTACATGGCCCTGGTTAGTAACATACAGGAAGCATAGACAAGGTGACCAGCCTTAGTGGCATCCAGGCCACAAGCCCAAATTGAGTCCATTGTCGCATGTGCACCCGAGCCCACTTCCAGTCCAAACATGCTCATGTTATCCTAGGCAACCCAAGGTCTGTAACAAGCCAAGATATGTTACCTACATCTTAGCAGCTTGGAGGAAAGTGCCCTTGCCGACAGTGCTGTACCTGAAATGAGCTGATAGGAATTTATTCGCAAATTTAAAGGGTCGCGTCACGGGTCATCGATATTTGCAGAACATACTGACCCTGCGGACTGAACAATACCGGACTGAAGTGACCAATAGAAAATGTACAAATTAAGGAGATCCAGGAAATGGCAGCTTAGCTTAACAAGTCAATCAGCCCCAGGATTCGGAGTTCAGAAAGGCAGGTGCTGGGAAGCATCCAGGACAGAACAAAGAAGCATGTGAGAGAAGACAGGTGCCTAAAGACTTTCCACAGTAGATGTTTCACCTGGTTTCTGAATTGTCTCATCCTCATCTGCATCGGCACAAGACTTTGGGCCATAAACCACTGAGGCTGGGCTCATGCATCACTTCATTTAGGACTCAAGGAGAGAACGCGACCAGCTGAGCACAGCACACAAAGGCAGCTCCTCAGAGGTTCACTCACTGGATCAAGGGGAAATCAGGCTAGGATTTTCTGCCTGGGGCTTCCTTTGGCTCAGCTGGACGTGGGGGTGGGCTCTCTTCCCCAGGCCCCCTTATGTCAACAGTCGGGCCTCCCAGGGGCTGCATGAATCGTGGGGAGCAAGCAGGGAACTGAACTGATTGGCAGCCCCAAATCATTTAGGGAGGACCAACCAAACGGGGTGGGGGTGGGGGGAGAGCAGGCCCCGACTGGCCAGGAAAGGCCTTTTGGAATTGGAGTTGGAGCTTAATGGAAACAGTGACCTAGTGTGTGGCTGTGGCAAAGAGACAACACTGCCAACATCACACTGTGCTTTTATACAGCGCGTGGGGTGTGGGGCGCCCTTAGAAGGTTGTGTACAGTTCTATCCATACAGCTGAAGAAATGAAGGAAGGCAAGCCAGGAGCAACCAGATCTTAATGCTGGGGATGCACTGGGAGCTTAGAGAGAGGCCGAGAAAAGGATTCTGCCAACTTCTACACAAGGAGAATAAGCAGCTTGTATTGCAGCTCAAAATGTTACAATTTTGTGCGGGTGTGAGTGTGTGTAATAGCAAAGGGGGGGAGGTGTGTGAGGCTGATCTGTGGAAGATGCCTTTGAAATGGCTTTCCAATGGGGTTGGGTGACATCATGGCCCTCCAGGGTTCCTGGTAGCAGCTGCTGATCCCCTCCCACTCTGCTGATCCCAGGAGCCTGATCCAGCCTTTCTTTGTCCATTTCATAAAGGGAACTGGGAGTTTCTGGGATGTCTTCTTCCTTGAGGCCTTTGAGGTCTTCTGGCTGGGAAGTGCCAAAGACCAAGGCAATTGCAAGTACTGTCACTCTCTCTGCCCATCCCTGTCTCACAAATGGAGCCGGGGAGGAAGAGAAGACGCCCTGGCAGCATCTCAAGCCCCTTCTCTTGACTCTGCAGACAGAATCCAGGCTGAGGGCTACAAGTGGGGACAGGAGCAAGCATGGACCTGATTCCCCATTCCCAGCCCCTCCCTGATATGAGGAAGGAGGGAGGGAAGGAGCCTTGTCTTTCAGCTCCAGGGGTTCCCCTTTCCTGCTTGACTGAAGCAATGGCTAGGCAGAAGGGAGATGGCCAATGGGAGCAAATTCAGGGAGGAACATATGAAGGGTTAGTAGCCAGGGGAACAGACTGCCACAGGCCGAGTGGTGAGTTCTTCGTTAGAGAGCTTCCAACAGACGCTGGGCGGCCGTCGGTCAGACCTCCCGATTTGAGCAGAGGTTGGATTCTGTGGCTGTGGTTACATGGTGATTCTATAACTCCTGAGTTCTTTTAAGGAGCTGAGCTTTCATGCCCTGGATCTGAATCTTAGACCTGAGAAGCCATTAATAGGACAATGGCAGAGCTTCCTTCAGGTCACCTGGGTGCCCCCCCCCCATAGGAGGCAGAGCAGGGAACAGAACAGCTGAGCTCAGGAAAAGACTGGGAGCCCCTCCCACCCCCGGCACTAGGAAAGAGCCCCTGGATCTAACAGGTGTTTCAGAAGAGGGCCTTTTGGTGGGGAAGACTGCAGAACCTAGGCAGGGAGCAGCAGCAGGAACCCTTGATCTCAAGGTAGGGCAAATAACCAATGACCATAGAGAGCTTTGAAGTGGTTCACTGATTTGTAACCACGCCATGTGCTCTTAAAGAAGACAAAAGTTTACAGCTGAGGGAGCAATTTATTAAGTTGGCTTCCACGCATTACATTGTCTTTTTCTGAACAAACAAGAGTGAATTCAGGAGAAGAGCCCAGTCATACCTTGAACACATGTTGTGTCCAGCTTGCTTCTTTCTCTGGGAATTTGCACAGGGCAGTTTTTTCTAACCTTTGTAGAGCTGGTGCTCCTTATTGTGGTGCCGTCTTGCTCTCGTGAAGCATCCAGCTGATTCTGCTGTTCCTCACTTCGGCTAATGGCTGCCGATTTGGGAGGGGGGTTCACAGAGGCCATCCTGGTTTGGGTCTAGGACTGTTCGTCTCGTACCCTTGGCTGCCCCTAGTTCTCCACCGGCATTCCTCCCCCCTGCGATTCTCCACTGGCTATTCTCCTCAGCTGACACAACTCCACTGATTCGCCTTGGGCAATGGGCCACAGCCACTCGGTCCTGTGTGCTTCGGAATGGCCGGAGGCCTCGTCCTGGGTTTTTCGACACTCGGGACAGTTAGCACACAACAAATCGGCTAGACGGGGTGGAAATAAGGAATTCTTTAGAATTAATAGAAATCCAGCAAAATGAGAGAGGTGTACAAGAGTTTGCCAAAATGCCTCCCTCCCTCTCCCCCCCCCCGCCTCCTCTCTCCCACCCACCTTTGGAGTACGGATAAAGAGTTGCCCTAAAGCGTGGAATTCTGCGATTTGATTCCTGATGATAAATCCTGATCATTCCTCATCAGGATTCTAAAGATGATGGTGATGATGATGATGAGAGTGGAAGG